GCCATTCGAGCCGGCTTTGTGATTCAGTATGATCACTGCTGATCATCTGAATCAGTCCCCTATTCCTGTTTTCTCCACATGCTTTTGATCCCTTTAGCCCTATGAACTGTACCTAACTCCTCCTTGAAAACATTCAATGTTCTGGCTTCAGCCGCTATGACAGAGAATTCCACAGGCTCACCACTCTCTGGGTGGAGAAATTTCTCTTTGTATCAGTCCGAAATGACCTACCCTGTACCTTGTCTGGGATCTCTGTTCATCGGGCACATCCTTTCTGTATTTACCCTGTTCGGTGCAGTTAAAATTTTATAGGTTTATTTGAAATTCCCTCCCCATCTTTCTCAACGCCAGTGAAAATAGGGCCAACCAATCCAATTTTTCTTCAATGTCTTGTGAATATTAGCTGTCAAGCACTTTGCAACATGCTGAGATTCTGATAAGATGCTTGTGAGGAAAGGAAATGAACATATTTTAAATATTGACCTTTTAATGGCTCAAAACTGCCATAGGGCAGTCTTTGATTCCTGGGATATGATAGAGTCGTACAGCGTGGAAGCAGGTCCTTTGTCCCAACTAGTCCACATCAGCCATGTTCCCAAACTAAACTACTCCCACTTGCCTGTGTTTTGCCCAAATTGCTCCAAACCGTTCCTATTCATGTACTGTCCAAATGTCTTTTAAATGTTGCGACTGTACCTGCATCCACCACTTCCTCTGGCAGTTTATTCCACACATGAAGCACTCTCTGTAAAAAATGTTGCCCTTCATGTCCTTTTTAAAACTTTCTCCTCTCATTTTAAAAATATGCCCCTATCATGCTGACTAACCCTAATCTTCCTTGGGCAGGTGGCTTCCGTGAAAATTTGCAGGTCTCTATAGTGAAGGGATTCTGATAGGAACAGGAGAAGGCAATTTATTCCTTCAGGCCATGACTTCCCTACTTCGACTGTTGAACCATATCCCTGAATAGTTTTGTTGAATAAAAATTCCACCAACTCAGTTTAAAAATTAACAAATCATCTGGCATCAGTTGCAGTTTCCGTAATCAGACCTTTGTTTGTGGAAATTTTGCAAGTCCTAGCTTTGGTTAATGTTCAATACCTCTACTAATTCCAAACTCCCAAACCTGCATTCATGGGCTCATGAGGAACATACTGACTATTCAGTATGAATATCTACAGGTGGTGCTTATTTGTCACTGCTGCCCAATCCTTCAGGCAGATTTTTGAACGAGTAAAACTACACAGAGACCAGATGATTTGGCGTGAATTGAGATTCACAGTGTTGGCATAAAGATAAGCGAGTTGAAGCTGATAAATGGGAAGCATTGCAGAATGTCACAGATTGACTGCAGGCTTAATCATGGTTAGGCTAATGCCAGCTTTTTAGATTTGATCCCCCTTGAACTTCAAAAAGGACTTGGATTAGTTGGAGGCAGCAGAGCAGGTAAGGAATGTGGGTAGGAATAAGAGCGGCATACAAAGGGCATCATGTGCCCTGAGGTCAATAGCATTGTTTATGTTGGTATGTGCAAGTCCCTTTCACCGCCCTCCCAGTTGCTATGATGCTAGTCTATCTGGTTGTGGTGTAATTTTTTAGGTGCTAAGTTACCTGATAGAGCATCTATTACATTTTGCTTAGCGACCGGCAGAATCATTCTTTTGACTGAGCTGTACAGCCCATTTCGGAAGAAGCAGGTTTTACACAGAAAGACTAGTGATTTACACCATACAGAAAAAGCAGTATCTTCATGAACCAATTTCAAATCCTTTTGTGATGTTGAATACCCTATTTGCACTTGAGGTTGGTAATATTCTGCTAAGAGTTGGGAGTGACTGTAAAGTACAAGCAGGTCAAAATCTTTTAAATTTGGGAAGGAGTTTGGCAATCTGATTGGAACAGGCTGGAGGGGCAGTTTTTCATGTTCCCAGCATGTGATGAGAAGGAATAGGCAACAAATGTTGGCCCTTGCCAGCAACTCTCCTATCCGATGAACAAACAAAACAAAATATGGAGATAGTAGGAACTGCAGATGCTGGAGAATCTGAGATAACAAGGTGTAGAGCTGGATGAACACAGCAGGCCAAGCAGCATCAGAGGAGCAGGAAGGCTGACGTTTCGGGCCTAGACCCTGCTTGGCCTGCTGTGTTCATTCAGCTCTACCTTGTTAAAACAAAATATGGAACTCATTCCCATGGAAAGTGCTAGAAGGGGAATAATGTCAGTACATTTAAGGGGAAGCTGGGTAAGCATGAGAGAGAGAAGGATAGGCTAATCGTGAAGGTTAGGAAGGAGCTCATGAGAATGTACACTAGCATGGCCATTTAACTCAAAGAGTTGGTTCTGTACTATGAGTTCTGTGCAAGTCAAAGGTTGAAGACGACTTCAAGAAGCTAATTACAGAATCCAGGCTGGCACTACTCAAACTGCTTTTTATAGATGAGACATTAAACTATTAAACTGATTAATAGCTCTGATTATAAGGTTTGCCTCCTTGTCCTTGTCTCCTCCTTTGGTGGGAACAGTTTAATTGATTTCCTTTCAAAATCCCCATTCAAGCCTTTGAAATTTCTGGATTGAGTGGAACTACAAATTTAGCTTAAAAATTAGGGGTACATGGATGGATTTGACTGGGAGGGAAATTTCTGAGGAAGCAGATGTTTAGGTAAGCACATTGCGGATCTTTCCTTTGTATTGTCCCTGTGTCAGCTGCTTAAACACACGTTCTGTTTGTATAAAGCCAGTAAATACAGATTGGATTCGAGAGGTGAGTCACGTAACAGCACGATATTTGCATTAGAGCAAACTATTTGCCTTTAATTTCACCCCAGCTCTGCAAGAGAGGACAAGTTACAGCAAATGTGGAAGTGTCCCTTTTGTAAGTCATTGCACCATCCTAGACCACATATCAAGTCTCTGCAGTCACTTTAGCTCATGTTAACGTAGAAACAAAGAAGATTAGAGCAGGGGGAGGCCATTGGGCCCTTCAAGCCTGCTCCACCATTCATCACGATTATGGCTGATTGTCCAACTCATAGCCTAATCCTGCTTTCTCCCCATAACCTTTGATCCCATTCACCCCAAGTGCTATATCTAGTCGCCTTTTGAATACATTCAATGTTTTGGCATCAACTACTTCCTGTGGAAATGAATTTCACAGGCTCACTGCTCTTTGGGTGAAGAAATGTCTCTTCATCTCCGTTCTAAATGGTCTACCCGAATCCTCAAACTGTGACTCCTGATTCTGAACACACCCACCATCGAGAACATCCTCCCTACATCTACCCTGTTCAGCCCTGTTAGAATTTTATAAATCTCTGAGAGCCCTCCTTCATTCATCTGAACTCCAGCAAAAACAATCTCAACCTAATCAAACATTCCTCATACGTCAGACCCACCATTCCTGGAATCAGCCTGGTAAACCTTGGCTGCATTCCCTCGTGAGCAAGCACATCCTTCCTCAGAAGAGGAGACCAAAACTGCACACAATATTCCTGGTGTGGTCTGACCAAGGCCCTGTATAACTGCAGCAACACATCCATGCTCCTGTACTCGAAATTTTGCACAATGAAGGCCAACATACCATTTGCCGCCTTTACCGCCTGCTGCACCTACATGTTTACTTTGAGTGACTCGTGCTCAAGGACACCCAGGTCCCACTGCACACTCACCCTCACAATTTATAGCCATTCAGATAGTAATCTGCTGCCTTGTTTTTGCTTCCAAAGTGAATAACCTCACATTTATCCAAGTTGTACTGCATCTGCCATTGATTTGCCTGCTCACCCAACCTTCGAAATCATGCTGAAAGATCTCTGCATCCTTGTCACAGTTGACCCTCCCATCCAACTTCGTGTCATCTGCAAACTTAGCGATGTTACATTTTGTTCCTCCAAATCATTAATATATATTGTGAATATCTGGGGTCCCGTCATCGATCCCTGTGGCACCCCACTAGTTACTGCCTGCTAATTTGAAAAGGACCCATTAATTCCTACTTTGTTTCTCCTCTGCCCGCAAGTTTCCTATCATCTCAACACACTATCCCCAATCCCATGTGTCTTAATCTTGCACATTAATCTCTTATGTGGGACTTTGCCAAATGCTTTCTGAAAGTCCAAATATATTACATTGACTGGCTCCCGCTCGTCAACTCTACTAGTTACATCCTCGTAGAATTCTAACCGATTTGTCAAGCATGATTTCCCCTTCATAAATCCACGCTGACTCTGTCTCGTCCTGCCACCACTTTCTAAATGCTCTGCTATAAAATCCTTGACAATGGATTCAACAATTTTCCTCACTACCAATGTTAGGCTCACCAGTCTATAATTCCCTGTTTTCTCTCTACATCCCTTTCTGAATATTGGAGTGACATTAGCTAACCTCCAATCTGCAACTCTTCCAGAGTCTATAGAATTCTGGAAGATGACCACCAATGCATCCACTTTTTCTGGAGCTACTTCCTTAAGTACTCTGGGATGTAGAGTGTCAGGCCCTGGGGATTTATTGGCCTTCAATCCCAACAATTTTCCCAGCACCATTTCTCAACTAATATTGATCTCCCTCAGCTCTTCCCTCTCACTAAATCTTGCCTCCTCCAACAATTCTGGTATTTGATTTGTGTTCTGTTTTGTGAAGACAGAACCAATGTATGTTTCAAGTTCCTCAGCCATTTCTTTGTCCCCTATTATACATTACCCTATTTCTGTCTGTCAGGGACCTACATTTGTCTTTACCAATCTCTTTCTCTTCACGTACCTATAGAAACTCTTAGCGTCAATCTTTGTTCCCTGCAAGCTTACTATGGTACTCTATTTTACCATTCCTAATCACTCCTTTGGTCCTTCGTTGCTGAATTCTAAACTGCTCCCAATCCTCAGATTTATTATTTTTCTTGTTACCCAGTCTTCTCCTTCTTTTGGTGCCGTGTAGCCTAATGTGTGCACATTGTAGTATTTTATTGTCTTTACACCCTGGTTAATTTGTTTATTTCACAGGGCACTCCAGTGAAAGATGTGGTTCTCAAAGCTGATGCTCCCACTGTTCTGTTACTGGATAAACATTCTGACTACATCGCCTCATATGGAGCAAAGAAGGATGATTATGTAGGTACAAAAATGTCCTTTTAGACCATGGAAATATCCTTTAGGATTGGGGGAAGCCATTCAGGTCTTCCAACCTATGCTGTCTCAATTAAGTTATGTTTGATGGCTTCATCCACTTTAGTGTTATTGGTTCAAGTCCTGGAATTTCCTCCCTAATTGCATTGTGTATCCACCTACAGCAATTGGACTGCAGTGGTTCAAAAGGCAGCTCACAGCCATCTTTCAAGGGGTAACTAGGGTCGAGGCAATAAATGCTGGCCAAGCCAGTGATGCCCACTTCCCATGATTGAATTAAAAAATATGCTTCCTGACCTTCTGAGTCAGCATTTTCACAATTTCAGCTTTTTAGCCTATATTGGAATTGTTTGCTTTTGTAAAAAATCTCTCCTCAGTTTTGGAATTATAGATCTGCTCCAATGAGATTTTCAGTCAGATAAGTATTAAAGCGGGACACTGTGGAGAGCTCCTCTGCTTATTTGTGCAGTGGAATCTCTTGTACCCACTTGACAGGGCTGACCCAGTCTTGACTTAATGTCTCATCACAATGACAGCATCTTTGACGAGGAAGTACACATTTGTACATGGTGAATGCTTCTATGAGTACAGATCATCTAACAATGCAGTGCTGCCTCAGTACTGCCTCTCTGACAGTGCAGCGTTCCTTCAGTATTTCCCCTTTAACAGTGCAGCATTCCTTCAGTGCTGATCTCCAATTCTATGGCATATCCTCAGGTGTGACACTGTCAGCGCTGACCCTCCGGCAGTGCACCACTCCGTCCGTGCTGGCCCTGACTGTGTGCACGTTGTAGTATTTTATTGTATTTACATTCCTGGTTAATTTGTTTATTTCGCAGGGCACCCATTTTGGTGCTTATAGAGTAATACAGCACGGAAACAGAACCTTTGGCCCAACTCCTTCATGTCAACCAGGTTTCCTAAACTGAACTAGTCCCATTTGCCTGCATGTGGCCCATATCCCTCTAAATCTTTCTTATCCATGTACGTGTCCAAATGGTTTTTAAATTTGTAATTGTACTTGCTTCTACCACTTCCAGTTTGTTCCATATACACACAACTCTGGAAAAAGTTAGCTCTTAGGTCCCTTTTAAATCTCTCACCTTCAACCTATGTCCTTTAGTTTTGGATTCCCCAATCCTAGCGAAAAGATCTTGACTATTCACCTTATCTATGCCCCTCATGATTTTATAAACCTCTATAAGGTTACCTCTCAGCACGTCCTATGCTTCAAGAAGCAAAAAAAGGTCCCAGCCTCTCCTTAAAACTCAAACCTTCCAGTCTTGGTAATGTCCTTGTAAATTTTTTTGCACCCTTTTCAGAATAATAATAATCTTCCTATAGCAGGATAATCAGAATTGTACGTAGTACTCCAGATGTGGCCTTGCCAATGTCTTGTACAGCTGAAACATGTCATTCCAACTCCTGTACGCGATGCAGTGATCAACGAAGGCAAGCATGCCAAATGCCGCCTTCACCACACACCCCACTCCCCCCGTCTACCTGTGACTTCACCTTCAAGGAACTATGTACCTGCATCCCTTGATCTTTCTGTTCAACAATACTCCCCAGGGCCCTGCTATTAACCTTGTAAGTCCTCCCCAGGTTTGTGTTACCAAAACGCAACACCTCGTGTTTATCTAAGTTAAGCTGCTTCTGTGCTAGTCCTCTGAAAGTGCTGTTCCCTATCACTGCAGGACAGGAGCAGCAGCTTTTAATAAGTCTGGTGTGGGACTTGAACATACTATCTCTTGCTTAACAGTAAAACGGACTATGATTTAAACGGTAAAAAATTGCAGCATGCTGCTGTGCAGAGGGACCTGGGTGTCCTTGTGCATGAATCGCAGAAGGTTGGATTGCAGGTGCAGCAGGTAATTAAGAAGGCAAATGGAATATTGCCCTTCATTGCCAGAGGGATGGAGTTTAAAAGCAGGGAGGTCATGTTGCAGCTGTATAGGGTGCTGGTGAGACCACATCTGGAGTACTGCGTGCAGTTTTGGTCTCCGTACTTGAGAAAGGATGTACTGGCAATGGAGGGGATGCAGAGATTCACTAGGTTGATTCCAGAGATGAGAGTGTTGGCTTATGAGAAGAGGCTGAATAGACTGGGATTGTATTCGTTGGAATTTAGAAGAATGAGGGTGAGAATCTTATAGAAACATAAAATTATGAAAGGAATAAATAGGATAGAAGCAGGGAGGAAGTTTCCACTGGTGGGTGAAACTAGAACAATAGGGCATAGCCTCAAAATAAGGGAGAGCAGATTTAGGACTGAATTGAGGAGGAACGTCTGCACCCAAAGCATTGTGAATCTGTGTAATTCCCTGCCCAGTGAAGTAGTTTAGGCTTCCTCATTGAATGTTCCGAAAGCTAAGATAGATCATTTTTTGAACAGCAAAAGACTGGCACAGTGGTTAGCACTGCTGCCTCATAGCACCAGGGACCCGGGTTCGACCCCAGCCTTGGACGACTGTCTGTGTGGAGTTTGCACGTTCTCCCCGTGTCTGCATGGGTTTCCTCTCACAGTCCAAAGATGAGTGGGTTAGGTGGATTGGCCATGCTAAATTGCCCATAGCGTCTAGGGCGGGAAGCTCTTGGAAGGGCCAGTGTAGACACGATGGGCTGAATGGCCTGCTTCCACACTGTAGGGATTCTATGATGAATTAAGGGTTATGGTGAGAGGGTGGATAAGTGGAGCTGAGGCCACAAAAAGACCAGCCATGACCCTACTGATTGGCGGCGTGGGCTCGAAGGGCCAGATGGCCCACTCCTGCTCCTGGTTTTCATGTTCTTGTGTTCTCATGTTCTTATGTTCTCATGTTCTCATCTGCTAGACAGCAATGGCTGGTGCTTTGATGACCACAAACTGATGTCATTGTTCCAAGTAAACCCATTTTAAAAAAACAAATCTTTTGTCATTTAACCACATGTACTCAGCACATCTCGGACGTCACATCTGCTTGCTGTCAAATTGCCAGCAGTTATTTTGATGTGTTCCTTATTTAGTTACTTGGAGAACTTTGAGCAAGGTTCCTGGTCCTGCTCCTCTCAGCTATTATTCATGTTGGTCATTTGTTCTATTTCTGTCTTAATTGACAAATAACCATCGAAATTTATTTGATGATTTGTATTTCTGTTGCACATTTAAATGGTGCATCATCCCAAGGCATTTCACATAGCATTATTAGACAGAGTTTGAATCCAACAAAGGACTTTTCACTTAATTTCTGAGGGATTTTTTGTAGCCACAAGTCATCCTAAATTATCTTGTAATCAATTCAATACTTGTACAGCATCTTCACTGTTAGAATGTCAGAAACCATGTCAGAATTAGGGGCTTAACAAACAAATGATTAAAAAATGATCAAAGTGCAAGTTTTAAACACTCTTGTGAATTGTCTTGTGGTGATTTGCTATTTTAAAAGTAGTACATAATGCAAGTTTTTGGGTGTTTTTTTTAAGTGAGAATGCAAATTCCATTAACTGTCTCGAAGATACGTGCTGTGTAGAATGTGTGCTGCTACTGATGACAGTCATCTTGATGCCTTGAGAGATGAATCATGATAGTAGCTACTGGTTCAATGACTGAATAAACCACAATGGTTTTTGAACTCAGTTAATCGTAAGGTTCGACTTGAGTTCAGCAGTTTTAGACCTTAGGCTGTCTTATCCCACAGCCTATTTTGTTTCCTTTACTTTGCATGTTTTGGTTTTTTAGCAGAGTTTTGTCTTCAGTCAGCAGCCCATCAGCTAGAGGTACATACTTTATTTATTTGTTTCATTTCTGTCCTTTGGTCCTGTAGATTCATACAGCGCAGAAAAGGCCCTTCGTCCCATCAGGGCTGAACCAACATAACTACCACTAAACTGCGTTAATCTCAATTTCCTGCGCTTGTCCCATGTCCTTGAATGTTATGATGGTTGAAGAACTCATCCAAATATTTTTTTGAAGGTTGTAAGTTTTCCAGCCTACACTACCTTCCAGGCAGTGCATTCCAGATTCCCAACACCTGCTGAGTGAAAAAGATCTTTTCCCGAATCCCCTCTGAATCTCCTGCCCCTGACTCTATAACTGTGCTCTCTTGTGATTGACCCATCAAACAAGGGGAAGAGCCATTCTCTATTTACTGTGGCCCTATCCCTCATATTCCTTATTCACTTATATATTCTTACATGTTCAATCATGTCCTCCCTCAGTCTTCTCTGCTCTAAAGAAAACAAGGTCAGAAATCACGCGACATCAGGTTATAGTCCAACAGGTTTATTTGAAAACACAAGCTTTCGTATCCTCACTCCTCTTTCAGAGAGGTGGGCATCAGACACAGAACTTATAGATAAAAGATCAAAGGGTCACACCACTGTTGTGGATGTATTAAACAAACCTAAGATGCTTTTTTTTAAAATTCATTAATGGGACAAGGGCATCGCTGCCTTGGCAGCATTTATTGCCCTTCCCTAACTGCCCAGAGGCCAGTTAAGAGTCAACCACATTGTTGTGGGTCGGGAGTCACATGTAGGCCAAACCAGGTAAGGATGGCAGTTTCCTTCCCTAAAGGACATTAGTGAACCAGATGGGTTTTTCTGACAACTTACAATGGATTCATGGCCATCATTAGATTCTTAATTCCAGATATTTATCAAATTCAAATTCCACCATCTGCCGTGGTGGGATTCAAACCTGGGTCCCCAGAACATTATCTGGGTCTCTGGAGTAACAGTCCAGCGATAATATCATTAGGCCATTGCCTCCCCATTGTTAAATGCTGTTAAATCTTTAATCGGTTAGAAGGTTTTAATTGATTAATATGTAAATGCTTAATCAATTAAGCTTGTGTTTTCAAATAAACCTGTTGGATTATAACCTGATGTCGTGTGATTTCTGACCTTGTCCACCCCAGTCCAACACTGGCACCTCCACGCCTAAAGAAAACAATCCAAGCCTCGCTAATCTGTCATTTATAGCTCAATTCCTCCATCCCAGGCAACATTCTGGTGAACAAAAACAAAGTTGCTGGAAAAGCTCAGCAGGTCTGGCAGCATCTGTGAAGAAAAAATCAGTTAACGTTTCGGTGAACCTTCCTCAGAACATTCTGGTGAACCTCCTCTGTACCCCCTCTAGTGCCATCACGTTCTTCCTGTAGTGAGGTGGCAAGAACTACACACAGTATTCCAGCTGTGGCCTCACCAACGCTGTGTACAACTCCAACATTACCTCCTTGCTCTTACACTCTATGCCATGACTGATGAAAGCAAGTGTCCCATATGCTTTCTTAACTATCCTATTCACTTGCTCTGCTGACTTCAGGGATCTGTGAATAATTAGCCCAAGATTGCTTTCTTCTTCTGAGCTACCCAGTGTCCTGCCATTCATTAAATACTACCTCATCTTGTTTCTTCTTCCAAAGTGCATTACCTCACACTTATGAGTTAAATACCATCTGCCACTGCTCTGCCCATCTGTAAGACTAACCCTTTTGTCATTTAATCTTTCCTGCCTTGTGTTTGACCACAGACCTCCTTTTTGCACTTGTACCACACACACATGCACACACACACACACACACACATACACACACTGCTCAAGATCTGTTCGATCTCTAACTGTTCCTAATTCTGATGAAGAATTGTCAACCTGAACCAATAATTCTCATAGTTGATGCCTGATCTGCTGCACATTGCTAATGTTTTCTGTTTTTATCTCAAATTTTAAGCACCCACAGTGCTGGATTCTGCTTTTCAACATTATATTTTCATTCCCAGAAATTCCAGAACTAATGCAAGAGTTTTGGAACCTTCAATCTGTGAATTGATTTGATATACAAAAGGAAATAGCGTGTGTTTAACCTGTGACCTCTAAAATCTAGAAGTACAAGGTTTCACCTCCCAAATTCCCCTCAGAAGTCAGAATATGTTGTCAATTTAAAACTCCTATCAGTTGTTCCTTAAGTATTGATAGTTCAAATTGCAGGAATGCCACACATTCTAGCATTTAGGAAATCTCTTCCCTACATTAACTGCAGCAGTTCAAGTAGAAAGCAACAGGCATCTATTGGTAGGCAATAAATGCCAGCTGTTTCAGTGAATGGTTTAATAAAATAACACCTTTGTAATGGACTTGTAATCAAGTCACCTGGTTAAATCAAAATTATCTTTTGTCACATGGAATTTAATAAAAACTTGACTCATGGTGATCACTGTTGAGTGTCACTAATGCCCATCTGGTTCACTGATGTCCTTTAGGTAAGAAAGTCTTCCATCTTCACCGTGTCTGGTCTACATATGACTTCAGATCCATGACAAAGTGCTTGCCTCTTAATTGCCGTCTGAAATAGCCTAGCAGGCCACCGTTTCAAGAGCAATTAGGGGTGGGCAATAAACACTGCCCAGCCAGCAACACCCATGTCACATAAATGAATAAGATAACATAGTAAATCAGTCTTTGCTGATATAATTCTTTTATCACTTTAATGGCAAGTTCCATTGCAGTATAGAAAATCTGCTAGGGGCATATTTCATTTTTGCTCTCTGTGGATTAACTTGGTGTCTAATGCTACTTAGTTTGCAGATTAACTATTGATGTTCTTTCTGGTTTTGCTTTTAGGAATACTGCATGTCAGAATATTTGAGGATGAGTGGAATCTATTGGGGGCTGACCGTTATGGATTTAATGGGGCAACTGCAGCGCATGAACAAAGAGGAAATCCTACAGTTTGTCAAGTCATGTCAGCATGACTGTGGGGGAGTCGGAGCTAGTATCGGCCATGATCCACACCTCCTTTATACCCTGAGTGCTGTGCAGGTAAGTCTGATAGCCATTTTGTCAATTTGTAAGTGATCTCAAGTAGTTGCTTAAGTGTCACTTGTACTGACCAATCAGACAGTCACTGAATCCATAACTCTTACTTGCAGTAGAGCAGAAATTTAGCAGTCTTTGTGACTTTTTCCACGTTGCATCATTAATCAAATTGAGAAAAATGTTATGATTCACTATTTAAACAATATAAAAGCAATGTGGTTCTTTGTGCTATTTCCTTATAGGTATAAACAGGACATTCAGCCCAATAGATCTAAGCTAGAGTTGATAGATAGCATAAGCTTCTTTTCATAGAAACATAGAAAATAGAAGCAGGATGGGGCCATTCAGTCATTCATGCCTGCTCAGCCATGGATGATCGTCTGACTCCGCACTCTGTTCCCACTTTGTCTCCATACCCTTTGACCCCTATAGCCCTAAGAATTATATCTAACTCCTGCCTGAAAACATTCAATGTTTTGACCTCAACTGCTTCCTGTGTTTGGGAACTCCACTGGCTCACCACTCTGAGTGAAGAAATTTCTCCTGCTCTCAGCATTCACTGCTTTCACTGCTCCAGAGTATTGGGTTAACAGGCCAGTCTAAAACATAATGGTGCAGTAGTGATGAGACATCACGTGAAGAGGAGGAGGAATGCTAGATAGATCTTAGAAGAGGAGATGCTTTCAGCATATATAGAATTCTATAGATGTACAACAAATAAATAGTCTGGTTATAGTGAGCACGAATTGCAGAAGAGTCATTGAATGTAGAGGGGCAATGATTAGATTCTGTTGTTTGAGACGGTTATTGCCTGGCACTGTGTGGCACCTGTGTTATTTGCCACTTATTAGCCCAAATCTGGATGTTTCCCAGGACTTGCTGCATATGGACATGAACTACTTCAGTATCTGAGGAATTGGGAATGGTGCTGAACATTGTGCAGTTATCAGTGAGCATCCCATGACTGATGCTGTGATGGATGAAAGGCCATTAATGAAGTAGCTGAAGATGATTGAACAAATTCTTCCTTATCTTGCCTCTAAATGGCTTGCCCTTTTTTTCTGAGACTGTGTCCCCTGGTTTCAGACTACAAGCCTAGGGAAACCACCTTCCTGCATCTACCCTGTTGATTCCTTTAAGAATTTTGAAAAATGTCAATGAAATCACTTCTCATTTCTCTGAACTCTAGAGAATACGTGCCCTGTCTCTTCAAAGGAATTAATGTGATTTGCTACCTCTATGGAAGGATATCATTCTTTGGGTATCAACTTTTTATGTTGGGTAGGATTCTGTTTCTTTTAAATTGACCCACGAGGAGGACTCTCACTTTTTCTGGACCCATGATGGTTAAAATCTTCTGTAAGCAGCAGCATACCCATAGAGAGTGGTCGGAATGTGGGGAGTGGCTAAAGTGAATAGCAAAGATACATTTCCAGGGAAGAAGAATGTGAGGAAGAAAAGGATGGAAGAATGTACAGATGGTGTGAGTCAAAAAGGGTGAGATTCATGGGGACCATGAATACCAGCACGGAGCAGATGGACTGAATGATTAGCTTCTGTCCTGTAATTAATGTGGAATTTTTTGGATGTTTTGTGAGCTGCTTCCTTATGGGTCCTGCATCAGATCGCTCCATGCCTAGGGAGACCTTCCATTTGTACCTGAATTGCATGTTCAGGAGAAGTCATTCACCCCTCAAATATATTCTGATATTCATTGGATGATGACTGAATTATATCTGAAATATAATGTAAAAAAAATACCATTTCCTAACAAAAATCTATCAGAGTTTGGAAATTTAGAACTGATGGCCCCTCTCCTGCTCCCCAAGACACACACACCTACACTTGCACGCACTCACCTATCTCTTCAGGCTCAACATTGAATTCCACTGCCCTTTGTGTGACTGCCCCTGGCTGGTTTGGCTTGGATGTTTAGGCTGCGTCGTTATTTGAAACTCTGTCCACCAAATGGAATAACCTGTGCGTCCTTGCGCAATCATAGAACATGGAACTGTACAGCATAGGAACAGGCCCTTTGGCCCACTATATTGTGCCAGACATGATGTCAAATTAAATTAATCCCTTCTGCCTGCCCTCGATCCATATCCCTCCATTCCTTGCATATTCATGTGCTTATCTAAAGTCTCATAAACGCCCCTATTGTATTTGCCTCCACTACTATCCCTAACAGCATGTTGCTGTTTCCTAACACTCTCTGTGTAAAAAAAAACTTGCCCCTCACATCTCCTTTGAACTTTATCCCTCTCACCTTAAATGCATGCCCATTCAGGGTCTTACAGCCTGCAGAGTAAGCACCCAGATTTTCCTATTTCTGTGGAATGAAGTCTGCTTCCAGTGAAGGTCCTAGATAACTAAAAGCTGCTGAGCCAATATGGTATACAATGTGTGGTTGAATGTTTGAACGAGGCAATAAAGTGTTAAATTGTCATATTGAAATATAGCCCATGATTTATGCTTGTTCTCTGAGTAAAATCCTGAGAATGCTGGAAAACGTCATTGATAACCTGTTTTGTGACTCACTCTTCTAGTGACTGAGTACAGGAGGTTACTTATTATGTGAAGCAGGTGAGTAAAAGAAACAAAAATTTCATGACTAGACTGGCAAAACAAGATTCTTCAGTCCTCTGAACCAGAATAGAGTGCTGCACGTGTGGAATGGTGCAGGTTTCATCTAATAATCATTTTGTAAATGGCAGAGAGATTGTGAGATAGTGATATCACGGAGGATTGATATGGTGCAGAGGAGGCTATTTGGCCCATTGTGTCTCCACTGGTTCTTTCTCCTGTTTTTACCCATAACCCTGTGCACCGTTTCTGTGCAAATATTCATCCATTGCCTTCTTGAATGTGTCCATTGAACCTGCCTCTCCACATTTCCAGACTCTGCATTTCATATCCTAACTACTGACTTTTCTCACATCGCCCTTGCTTCACTTACACATCATTTTAAGTCTATGTCCTCTTGTTCTCATTTCTTTTATGAGGTACAGATAGAATTAATGGTAGTTGTCTTTTCCCTAGGATGGGGAATTTCAAGACTAAGGGGCACATTTTTAAGGTGAGAAGAAAGAGATTTAAAAAACACGTAAGAGGCATATTTTTTACACACAGGATGGTGTGCGTGTGGAATGAACTTCCTGAGGAAGTGGTGGATGTGGGTACAATTACAACGTTTAAAAGACATTTGGATAAGTACATGGATAGGAAAGGTTTGGAGGAATATGGGTCAGGAGCTGGCAAGTGGGACTAGTTTATTTTGGAATTATGTTCAGTATGGACTGGTCGGACTGAAGGGTCTGTTTCCGTGCTCTGTGAACAGGCACAGCATTCCCCTATGTGTGCTGCCTTCCTGCTTGTGATCTTGGAAACTTCTTTCAATGGCTTTCTGTCCATGAAGCCAGTCCCAACTTCTTCAATCTATCCTCATCACTGAAATTTCTTATTCCTGGAACCATTCTTGGAAATTTCTTCTGCCCTCTCCCAAATCAACTGACATCTTCCCTATAATGTGGTACCCACAACTGTATACAGTACTCCAGATGAGGGCTAAGAAGTGTCTAGTGCAGACGCAAGGGGAGGTGATGGCCTAGTGGTATTATTGCTGGATTGTTAACCTAGAGAATTCAGGAAATGTTCTGGGGATCCGATTCAAATCCTGCCACAGCAGAATGTGACATTTGAATTTAATAAAAAATCTAGAATTACGAGTCTAATGAATCGAATTTATTGTCGAGTGTTGGAAAGACCCATCTGGTTCACTAATGTTATAGAGCCATACAGCATGGAACAGACCCTTCGTCCATACCGACCAAGTTTCCCAAACTAAATGAGTTCAATTTGCCTGTGTTTGGCCCATATTCCTCTAAACCTTTCCTGATCATGTGCCTGTCCAAATGTCTTTTAAATGTTGTCACTCTACCTGCATCCATCACTTCCTCTGGCAGTTCATCCCGCATATGATCCACCCTCTGTTTTAAAAAGTTGCACGTCAGGTCCCTTTTAAATCTCTTCTGTCACCTTAAAATTATGCCCTCTAGTTTTGAACCCTTCAATCCTAGGGAAGGAACTAGCCATCTTTACTTTGTCTGGTCTACATATGACTCCAAACCCACAGCAACATGATTGACTCTTAACTGCCTTCAGTTAGAGATGGTAATAAATGTTGGCCTAGCCAATGACACCCTCAGTCGATGAATGCTGTCTGCTCATGTACTGTATATTCCTATTAATAAAGCCACATTGTATGCTTTATTTACCTCTCCATCTCTCCTGCTACCTTCAATGATCTGTGCACATACACAGACAGATCTCTCTGGTTCCACGGCCCCTTTAGATTTCCACACCTTATATTTCTTTTTAATGTTCTTTCGACCAAAGTTCGTCACTTCTCAGGTCTCTGCATTGATCCTCATCTGCCACCAAATCGCCCACTCCACAAACTTGTCCAATGTCTTTTTGGAGTTCCACAACTGTCCTCGCAGTGTACAGTTCTTCCAAGTTTTCTGTCACTTGCATACCAAGATGCATATCATTAGATATATCAGGAAGGCAAGGGTCCCAATACCAACCCATAAGACTATAAGATGTAGGAGCAGAATTAGGCCTCTTGGCTGGCTCATTGAGTCTGCTCCACCATTCGATCATGGCTGATGTGGTTCTCAACTCCTTTCTCCTGCTTTCTCCCTGTAACCCTTGATCCCCTTATCATTCACCAACTTATCTATCACTGTCTTAAATACACAAAATGACTTGCCTCCACAGTAATGAGTTCCCCAGATTCACCACCCTCTAGCTGAAGGAATTCCTCATTATCTAAAAGGTCATTCCTTCATTCTAAGACTGTGCTCTCGGGTCCTATTCTCTCCTACCAGTGGAAATATCTTCTCCACGTCCACTCTATCCAGAGCCTTCAGTATTCTGTAAGTTTCCATGAGATCCCCCCTCGTCCTTCTAAATTCCATCGAAGACAGACCCAGAGACCTCAACCATGCCTCATATAACAAGCAGTTCATCCCCAGGATCAATCCTGTGAATCTTCTCTGGACCCCCTCCATCGCCAGTACATCCTTCCTTAAATACAGGGCTCAAAACTGCTCACAATATTCCAAATGCAGTCTGACCAGAGTCTTCAACAGCCTCAGCAGTACATCTCTGTTCTTGTCTAACATTGCATTTACATTCCAAACTGCCAACTGAACCTACATGTTAATCTTAAGGGAATCTGGAACTAGGACTCCCAAGTCCATTTGTGCTTCAGATTTCCAAAGCCTTTCCCTGTTCAGAAAATAGTGTATGCCTCTATTCTTTCTACCAAAGTGCATAACCTCACAATTTCCCACATTGTATTACATCTGCCTCACAATTTCCCACATTGTATTACATCTGCCACTTCTTTGCCCACACTCCTGCACTTCTGCAGCCTCCTTGATTCCTCAAAGCTACTTGCACCTCCACTTATCTTTGTGTCATCTGCAAACTCAGCAACAATGCCCTCTGTTCCTTCATCCAGATGGTTAATGTGTAAGGTGAATAGTTGTGGTCCCAACACAGACCCCTATGGAACTCAACAAGTCACGAGCTGCCATCCTGAAAATGACCCCTTTATCCCCACACTCTGCCAGTCAGCCAATCCTCTATCCGTGCCAGTACTTGCCCTTAACACTACGGGCTGTTGTCTTATTTAGCAGCCTCCTGTGTGGCACCTTGTCAAAGGCCTTCTGGAAATCCAGATAGATGACTTTCACTGGCTCTTCTTTATCTAATTTGCTTGTTACCACCTCAACGAATTATTACGAATATGTTAGACATAATGACCCCTTGATGAACTATCTTATCACATACTTCCAAGTAGTCTGCAATCTCATCTTTGATATGGCCACTAAAATCTCACCAACAACTGAGTTCAGGCTGACTGGCCTGTAGTTTCCTAGCTTCTTAAACAGGGGTTTACATTTTCTAGTCCTCTGGGACCCTCCCTGACTCCAGTGATTCCTGAAAGATCACCAATGCCTCCACAATCTCCTCAGCTATCTCCATCAGAACTCTGGGGTGTAGTCCACCTGGTCTGGGTGATTTGTACACCTTGAGATCTTTCAGTTTCCCCAGCACCAAAGGCTTCCCAATCCTCTGGTTACCCACTAATTTTCACCACATTGCATGCTTTTTTTTTTTTTGCTTTTATGCTGTCCCTGTCTTCCCTTGTGAGGCATGGCTGCCTCGTCCTCCCCTTAGTATGTTTCTTCTTCCTTTGGATGAATTTCTAGTATACCTCTTAACCTACCTCGTGTCTTTGTTTCCTGGGGAGCTCCAATCCAAACCTTTCCTCAGCCTGAAAAATATCCATTGACTTTCTTTATTCATTCACAGACTGAGGGCATCGCTGGCCAGGCAGCATTTATTGCCCATCCCTAATTGCCCAGAGGGCAGTTTAGAGTCAACCACATTGCTGTGGGTCTAGAGTCACATGTAGGCCAAACCAGGTGAGGATGGCAGTTTCCTTCCCTAAAGGCCATTAGTGAACCAGATGGGTTTTTCTGACAATCTACAATGGTTTTATGGTCATCATTAGATTCTTAATTCCAGATATTTTATTGAATTCAAATCCCACCATCTGCCATGGCGGGATTCAAACCTGGGTCCCCAGAACATTATTTGGGTCTCTGGATTAACAGTCCAGCGATAATACCACTAGGCCATTGCCTCCCCAGACTCTGTTTCCTGTCACTCAACCAATTTTGTATCGATGCTTCTGTCCTTTTGTATGATGACTTATCACTTCCCTCACAGGTCAGTTGTGTGGCACTGTTTCAAACACTTTCTGGAAATCCATACAAACCACATCAACAACATTATGCTCATTGACACTTCCTGTTGCCTCTTCAAAAAACTCCAAGTTAGTAATTTTCCCTTGAGAATTTGTGTTGACTGTTCATAATCAACCCACCTTTTTCTGTCTGACTACTAATTCTATACAATCCTATCCCATTCCATTCTATCTGATATGATTTGATTGCTACATTGTATTAACACAACAAATGATGATCCATATTTGAAGAAATGATTGAATTACTCTGTTCTAGTAACAGAAATTGCTAGAAATAGTGAGCAGATCTGGCAACATTTGTGGATACAAAAATATTGCTAATGTTTCACATCCATAATCTTTTTTCAGAGCATTCTGATGCCACCCAGCCCAAACTTCACAGTTTCTAATATGACATAATCCTGGTTTGACCAAACCTTTCCTCTGTACCTCCCATTTTCCTCATTCAGTTGTGTATTTATAATCCTTGTGCTAACTGCAGTTCTCTTCAAAAACTTCTTCCCCAATCCTCACCATTCATCCTTATCTCTGCTTCAGTTTGCTCCAATCTTGCCTTCCCATGAATGCCTATAGATTCCAGCTTCCTATGCATCCTCTCCCTCTGCTGCACTTCAGTACCAGGCCTTTTAATTATCTAAACCCTGCCCTACAGCCTCTCCCGTTGCTTGACTTGTTACTTTACCCTATAAAAAGCCTCATGAAAACTTGGCTGTTCGACAGGCTGAGAGATGGTTTGTTTATCTCAAAGGGGAGAATGTGTTCCTTTTGATTTCTTTGAAGCTGCTGAGAACATGCACTAGTTCCCCCTTTTCAGAAATTCATAAAACCTACTTGTCAAACTAGATATGTTTTTCTCTCAATTATTTGTCTTTTTTTTTTAATTCATTCATGGGATGGAGGTGTTGCTGCTAGTCCAGCATTTATTGCCCATCACATGTGCATAGAACATAGCACAGGAATGGGCCCTTCAGCCCATGATGTTGTGTCAAACATTATGCCATAGCAGAGTTCGAACAGGCTCCCCAGAATATTAACTGGGTTTCTGGACTAAAAGTCCAGCAATAAAACCACAAGGCTATCCCTTCCCCTAAGTTTGGTTTCTGACTGTGTCTACCAAAATGTTTTTGGAAGTTTTACTGTGTTAAAAGGCACTGTGAATATGTATGAAAATTGTTAGTTCTTCAGTATTCATGATGTGTTTCTTTTAATCTAGATCCTTTCTCTCTATGATAGTCTTCATGTCATTGACGTTAATAAAGTTGTTGAGTATGTTAAAGGCCTCCAACAAGATGATGGTTCCTTTGCTGGTGACAAATGGGGTAAGTTTCTCCTGACACACAGGATTTTTATAAATTTTAGTATTCTAAATCAACACTGCATTTAGAAGTGTTTTTGGTGCACCTACGTACGTTGATTTGTGGAGTGAATTTGCACAATATTTACAACACAAAGCCAGGCCATTTGGCTTAATGGGCTCTTAGAAACATAGGAAATTAGAGCAGGAGTAGGCCATTCGGCCCTTCAAGCCTGCTTTGCCATTCCATTTTGATCATGGCTGATCATCAAACTCAGTAGCCTGTTCCTGCTTTCTTATATCCTTTGATTCTTTTAGCCCCAAGTGCTGTATCCAATTCCTTCTTGAAACAACGTCCTGGCTTTGACTGCATTCAGTGGTGGTAAATTCCACAGGCTCTCCACTCTCTGGATGGAGAAATTCCTCCCCTAAACGGTTGACCCTGATCCTTAAGACTGTGACTCCTGGTCCTGGACCCCTTTGTCATGGGGAATATCCACATCCATCCTACACCTACCCTGTCTAGTTCAGTTAGAATTTTATAGGTTTCTATGAGATCTTCTGAACTGCAGTGAATTTAATCCCAACTGATTCAAATCTCTTCTCGTATGTCAGTCCTGACATCCCAGGAGCCAGCCTGGTAGACCTGTAGCTTACTTTGTGACTTAATTATATTGTTGTATTAATGTGATAATTGCTGGTTTGTTTAACATGTGCAGACATCAGTCAGGCCTGTATGAATTGAAAGAAAACTGATTAGTCATATCTGTTACATCTGTTAATTTAACAGAATTGCAAAATTGTTACACCCTAGAAGGAAGTCATTTGGTCCATCGTGTCTGCACCAGCTATTTGAATGAACATTTCACTTGGTGCTATTCTCCTGCCACTCTCCCTCAACCCTGTATATTGTTCCTTTTTCCAACAACAGTCAAATTTCCTTTTGGCTGCCTTGATTGTACCTGCATCCATCACACTCCTTGGCAGCACAGGCCTGATGCTATAAATGCACAGCATGAAACAATTTTGTTTTCTCATGTCACCTCTTTTGCTTTAAATTACTTTAAATCTGTGCCCTCTTATACTTGATTGTTTCACGTGTCAGAATAGTTTTTTCTGCATTTACTCTTTCCAGATGCCTCAAGATTTTGACACTTCTTTCAAATTCATCTCGGCCTTCTGTTCTCCATGATGCATGCATGTTAGGAGCTCTTTGGCAGTGTCAAGAAACATAGCTATTAATGAAGCGTAGGACACTGTATGGTTTATGAACAGTTCTCTCTATCTGTCCTGCCTCCTTCAATGTCTTATGCACATATTCACCAAGGTGCCTCAGCTGCTGCACACCTTTTAAAGATGTAGCCTGTATTTTATATTGTCTCACCATGTTTTGGTAGGAAAAATGAATCATGTCGTGTTTCTCTTCATTTAACTTCATTTATCACTTGTCCGCCCATTCCATCAACATCACAATGTCCTTTTGAAGTTCCACTCTATCACCTTCACCGTTCATGATGCCTCCACTTTGTGAAGTACCTGCAAACTTTGCAATTGTGCCCAAGACGTCAAGATCTGGGTTATTCACGCATATCGGAAAAAACAATGGCCTCTGGGTAGGGATTCCTAGGGCAAATATTCCTCCAGCTTGAAAAGCATCCATTAGCCATTACCGTCTGTTTCCCATCACTCAGCCAATTCTGGGAACATTTTGCTACTAGGAGATAGCAAGAACTGCAGATACTGGAGTCAGAGTCAATACAACATGGAGTTGGAGGAACACAGGAGGTCAGGAAGCATCAGATGCTCCTCAGATGCTGCCTCACCTGCTGTGTTCCTCCAGCTCCACACCATGTTGCTACTATCCCTTTTATTTCCTGAGCTCTAACTGTGTTGTTAGTTGTATGGAACTGTGGCAACTAGAACTGCGTGTACGTCAGGTTCACTAATGTCCTTTAAGGAAAGGAACTGCCATACTTACCTGGTCTGGCCTACATGTGACTCTAGACCCACAGCAATGTGGTTGACTCTGAATTGCCCTATGGGCTATTAGGGATGGACACTAAATGCTGCCTAGCCAGCAATGTCTTCATCCCGTTAACAAATAAAGAAAAAAAAAATCTTGCATATTTGCAAGTCACCATGCCTCAGCCTGTGGTCCTGTCTGATCTGGTTATGGTGTAACATGATTGTGAAGTTGGGAAGTCCTGTGGGTTTTATTTTAATTATGTATATATATAAAAAGTATAGTAAATGTTCCTTTGCTCAGCAGTTATGTCATGGTCTCATTATCCAAAAGGTCAACTTACAGTCATATAGTGGTTGTGTTACTGTAGTGACAGTCTAGAAGCCATTCATTAGAAATCCAGAGAATGAGTATTCAAATCCCCGTGATAGTTTGAGAACTTAAAAAAAAATTCACTTGTGGGACATGGCTGCTGCTGGCTGGACCAGCATTTATTGTCCACCCCTAGTTGCCCCTTGAGAAAGTGAGATACCATCTTGAACCGCTGCAGTCCATGTGCTGTAGGTGGCCAACAATGTGTTTAGGGAGGGAATTCTGGGATATGGACCCAGTGACACTAAAGAGACAGCGATATACTTCATCTTAGGATAATGAGTGGCCTGGAGCAGAAATTGCAGTGGGTGGTGTTCCGTTGTATCTGCTACCTTTATCCTTCCAAATGGTAGCAATGGGTTTGGTAAATGCTGTTTAAAGATCTTTGGTGAATTTTGCAGAGCATCTTATACTGCAGATGGAGGAGTTGAGATGAGGTGTCAATCTGGTGACATCTTCCAATGTGTCGGGTATCACTCAACGAGTTTGCCCCCTGATTCCTATTGATTCCAGTCTTGTTAGGGCTCCTTCTGCCACACTCAGTTGAATGCAGCCTTGAAGTCCGAGGCTGTCTCCCTTGTCTCACCTCTGGAGTTCAGCTCTTTTGTCCATTATTGAACCAAAGCTGTAATGAAGTCAGGAGCTGTGTGGCCCTGGTGGAACCCAAAATGGGCATCAGCAAACAGGATATTGCTGAGCAGATACTGATTGATAGCACTGTTGACGACACCCTCCAACACTTTACTGATGGAGAGGTATTGGCTGGGTTGGATTTGTCCTTTTTGTGTATCTGACCCATCTTCCACATTGTTGGGTAGATGCCAGTGTTGCAGCAGTACTGGAATAACTTGATTCAGGGTGTGGCAAGTTTTATATCATAAGTCTAAAGTAGCATTGTTGGAATGTTGGCTGCACCCATACCCTGTGTGACATCTAGTTCCTCCAGCTATTTTGTGATACTATGAGGAGTGAATTGATTTGGCTGAAGACTGGTATCTGTGATTCTGGTGACCTTTGGAGGATGATGGATCATCCAGTTGGCAGTTCTGTCTGAAGATTGTTGAGAATGCTTCAGCTTTATCTTTTGCATTGACGTGCTCGATTTCCCCACCATTGGGTATGGGGGTATTTGTGGATTTGTGAGACTGCAGACTTTAGGTCTAGTCTATTGTTTGTGTGATCTCTTGGCTCTGTCTGTAACTTGCTGTTCATGCTGTTTGTGACATAGTCCTGTGTTGTAGCTTCACCAGGTTGACACCTCATCTTTAGGTACGCCTGGTGCTGATCCTGGCATGCCCTCCTGCACGTTTCATTGAACCAGTGTTGATCCCTTGGCTTGATGGCAATGTTAGAGTGGAGGTATGCAGAGCCAAGAAATTGAAGACTGTGTTGGAGTATGATTCTGCTGGTGCTGTTGGCTCAAGTGCCTCGTGATGCCCAGTCTTGAGTTGCTAGATTGGTTCAAAATCTATCCCATTTAGCATGGTGATAGTGCCACAGAACATGATTTATGGTATTATCAACGTGAGGTCAGGACTTTGTCTACATTATTTAAATTCCATTTTAATATAAACTGGAAGTAAAATATCTGGTGTCAGTAGAATTAGCCGTGAAAATTTTGGATTGTCATTGAAGAAAACCCGATTTGGTTCACTGATATTCTCATCCATAAAAGAATCTGCCATTCTTACCTGTTCTGGGCCCTTGTATTAATCCGAACCAGCAGTAACGTGATTGATTCCACTACTGCCTTTCTGTAGAAGTTGTATCTGCACTTCAACCAGTGGTTCAAGAAGGCCCACTAGCAACAGCACCTCAGGACAGCTGAGAAAAGATGAAGAATCTGTCTAACAATTCTAATAGATCATTCAGAGTGGGAATTGATACAGTTTTGTGCATATTATGAAGCTATGGTACAGGCCAAATTGTTATGGTTTCCAAATGAAGAACTGACCTCTAAAGTCGGTGGGATTTGCAGGGTGTTTGACTACACTGTGGCTGGCAAACGTTTTGATCTCTCTCCAACGGCCCAGGGTACAAGGTCAAAGCAGCCATTGATATTATAATATCAATGGATTTAGCAGACCCACTGTCCTAGAAACCAAAACCCAATTTTAATTTTATAATTGAATCATAGAATGAATCCTATGTTGGCTACAGTTGCCATTCACTCCATTATGTTCATGTTCACTCTTTCCAAGTGAAACTCAGCTAGTCCCACTGACCTGCCTGTTTTTCATTGCCGTGACATTTTTCTTTCTGTTTAGATGTTTTCAATGCCTGCTTGAAAGTGCCTGTGTACCACATACACACATGCCTCCTAACCACACGGTCTATTAAAAAAAAATTATGCGTAATGTTGTCATTGTGTTTTTTCTTGCCAGTCACCTTATAACAATGTCTTTTTTTTTACCTTTCCTCAATAGAGGGTACACATTTTGGAATTTTTGTTTCTGTGTACCCCCCCCTCCATTTTTTTTCAATCTTCTCCATGGAAATTTTCCTCCACATCTCCACTCTATCCACATAACTGAAGTCCCTTATTCCTGGAAGCATGCTTGTCAGCCTTTTTTGCACCCATTCTGAACTCTCATCGTTTCTAAGCTGTCTTGCCCAGAATTTGATGCAGTACATCAGCCAAATAAGAGCTTTGTGGAGGTAAACCTTAACTTCTGTGCTTTCTCTTAAAACACATTTTCAACCTGTTGTACCACCTTGAACTATGTGTGTGCAATGCAATAGCCCTGTTAGAATTTGAGTGCTTTGTTACATTGCCTCTCACCTTCATACCAAAGTGAATCACTTCACACTTGTGGGTTTTATATTTCAACTGTCACATGTTTGCCTATTTGACCAACTTGTCAATGACCTCTTGTAAATTTTGAATTGTACCTGAAGTCTGGGTCATTCATGTAGATCAAGGAAATCAGTAGTCCTAGTACTAACCCCCGAGAACCTCACTGTCAACCTATTCAAACATATTCTGACATACAAAGAACAGTACAGCACAGGGACAGGCCCTTCGGCCCTCCAAGCCTGTGCCAACATATTTTGCCCTTCCATACTAAAACTGTCTTCACTTACAGGATCCGTATCCCTCTATTTCCTTCCTATTCATGTATTTGTCCAGGAACTTCTTGAATGCTGCTATTGGGTCTGCTTCCACCACTTCCTCTGGCAGTGTGTTCGAGGCACTCGCTACCCCTTTGTGTGAAAAACTTGCCTCACACATCTCTCTTAAACTTCCCCCCTCACACCTTGAACCTGTGCCCCCTAGTAACTGACTCCTCCACCCTAGAAAAGCCTCATACTTCCTATTCTATCCATGCCATTCACAATCTTATAAACTTCTATCAGGTGGCCTGTCAACCTCTGTGTTCCAGTGAAAACAAACCCAGTCTATCCACCTTCCTTCAAAGCTAAAATCCCCCATACCAGGCAACATCCTGGTAAACCTTTGCTGTAATCTCTCCAAAGCAGCCACATCCTTCTGGTGATGTGGTGACCAGAACTGTACACAATATTCCAAGTGTGGCCTAACTAAAGTGCTATAAATCTGCAGCATAACTTGCCTATCCTTATACTCAATGCCCCTGCCAATGGAGGCAAGCATGCCATATGCCTTTTTTTTTTTACTACCTTATCTACCTGCACACCCATTATCCCTCTGCAAATCAATGCGCCTAACAATTCTGCCATTCACTGTATAATTTCCACCTGTACTTGACCTTCCAAAATGCATCACCTCACATTTGCCTGGATTAAACTACATCTGCCATTTTTCTGCCTATGCCTCCACTTGATCTATATCTTGCTGTATTCTGTGACAGTCACCAGGAAAGTTGAAAGTTGAACCCAGACCTTCAGCCTTTGAGATAGGGACAATTCCACGTGCTACAAGAGCACCTAGATTCCATTTAATGTTAGCAGCCAATGCTGTAATGTCCTATTTCACGTCCCGTCCAATCTTTCTATGTTTACCTCTGTTCTCATTGGATCTTTCTGACAATTGTCCTACAGTACCTTGTTCTGCCACTGTTTCATCTCTGAAGCTCCAGTTTTGTTTTTCCTACCTTTCCTGTTTGTGAGAATATAGTTTGATGGTACCCAAGCTATCTCCTGTTTAAATGCAGTTCATTGTTCACTTACAGTTTTTTATGCCAGTCTTTAATTCTACTAGATGGTGGCATGGTGGCACAGTGGTTAGCACTGCTGCCTCGCAGCGCCAGGGACCTAGGTTCGATTCCAGCCTCGGGCGACTGTCTGTGTGGAGTTTGCACATTCTCCCCGTGTCTGCGTGGGTTTCCTCCAGGTGCTTCGGTTTCCTCCCACATTCCAAAGATGTGCAGGTTAGGTGGATTGGCCATGCTAAATTGCCTGTAGTGTTCAGGGATGTGTAGATTAGGTGGATTATAGGGGGATGGTTCTGGGTGGGATGTTCTGAGGTTCGGTGTGGACTTGTTGGGCCGAAGGGCCTGTTTCCACACTGTATGGATTCTATCTAATTTCTATCTAGATCAGGCCAGATACATTCTTGTCCTAATGAAATTGGCCTTCCACCAATTGAGTTTTTCTTTAGTTTGTTCCTTATGCTTTTCATGGCTAACCTAAACCTTATGAAAATGCTGTCTTCTAAAAGCTCTCTGATTCGTACTTGACCTATCGCATTCACCAGGACCTGATCCCTGTTTAACTTTGTGCAAAGAGTAAACGTATTGTGTATCAAAGTATCTGAGCCTTTTTATGCCAATGATTGGAGTACAAGAATAAGAAGGATTTGCTGCAATTATGTAAGGTTTTGGTGAGATTGTACCTGGAGCTGTATGTATGTTATTGGTCGTAAAAGCATTCTATGAACTCTTCACCCAGGCTTGAGCTGCTGATCTGACTTTTCCAGTTTGTATGTTAATTAAAGTCACCCATGATTATTGCCATCTCTTTATCATTAACACAGAGTATTTCTTCATATGTACTTTGTTCCACATTGTGGACAGTGTTAGGAGGCCTAATTCTCATGAGTCACTTCTTTTCTCTACTATTCCTCATCTCTATCTAAACTGATTCTACATCCTGATCACCTGAACCAAAGTCATCGCTATTGTACAAATGCCAGCCCTGTTTAACAGTTCTACCCCTTCACCTTTAACTAGCTTCCTAGTATTTCTTAAATATCATGTAACCCTCAATATTTTGGATGCAGTCCTTGTCATCCTGAAGGTACTTCTCCATAGTGGCTACAAGAATCATATTAATTTCCTTCAATGTCCTTCCTATTTCTGCATTTAAATAGAACAGAACACTGGCCTTGACATAGCTCAGGTGTAGATTGTCCCAATGGACTCATGAATAAAAGTTAGCCTAATGGCCATGTAACCACTGTCAATTGTTGTAACAATCTATTTGGTTCACTAATGTCCCTTAGAGAAGGAAATCTGTCATCCTTAACCAGGTTCTGGTCTACACGTAGTTCTTGACCCTCAACTGCCTGCTAGGCAATAAAGGATGGCCACTAAATATTGACCAAGCCACCAACGCAGCCCGCACCCTGTGAATGAATAAAGAAAGAAGTTGCGCATAACTGTGGTAACAGTTCAGAGATTATAAACCTTTGAGATTGATTTTCAATGCCTTGCTTCGGTCTTCGTGCCCTCAATGCAGAGCCTTTTCCTATTTCTACCCATCTCACTGGTATCTACATAGATCACAGCCTCTGGAACCTCTCTCCCACTGCAAGTTCTTTTCCAGCCTCACGCAGATGTCCCGAACCTTGACACTGGGCAGGCAACACAATCGTCTGGACTCCTGCTCTTTGCTGCAAAGAATGTGTGAATTGCCCTCACTTTACTGTCATTTACTACCACTGCATTTCTTGTTGCCCCCTCCACCAGCTGAGAGGCTTCCTGTGTCATGGTACATAGTCAGTTTGCACAGCATCCCTGCAGCCCCACTCTCATCGAAACAGACTGAGAACTTAATCTTAAAAAATGAGGAACTGCAGTTGCTAGAAATCTGAAACGAAAACAGAAATTGCTAGAGAAACTCAGCAGGTCTGGCAGCCTCTCTGGAGAGAAAGCAGGGTTGATGTTTCAGGTCCAGTGATCCTTCTTCAGAACTTAAACCTAGTGACAATTTCAGACAGTGACATTCCTGTCTTCTGGATCCCCTTGCCTGCCTCACCCACAGTAACACTCTCCTGGCCCTGACCACTGAACTCTGGCATTGGTAAAATTCTGTCTACCAGAATGATTTCTGGGATGAGAGGTTTCCCTTATTAAAGAACTAAAATCAAACTTTTCTCATTGTGTACAAAAGGATTTGCACAAAGCAGTTTACAGTATTGACTCTTTCAGCATCAATCTCTTCAGGTTTCACTATAGTAATCAAAAAAAGAACAAAGGAAATTACAGCACAGGAACAGGCCCTTCGGCCCTCCAAGCCTGCACCGATCCAGTTCCTCTATCTAAACCTGTTGCCTATTTTCCAAGGATCTGTGTCGCTCTGCTCCCTGCCCATTTATGTATCTGTCTAGATACATCTTAAATGACGCTTTCGTGCCCGCCTCTACCACCTCCGCGGCAGCACGTTCCAGGCACCCACCACCCTCTGCGTAAAGAACTTTCCACGCATATCTCCCTTAAACTTGCCCCTCTCACCTTGAAATTGTGACCTCTAGTAATTGAGTCCCCCACTCTGGGAAAAAGCTTCTTGCTATCCACCCTGTCTATACCTCTCATGATTTTGTACACCTCAGTCAGGTCCACCCTCAACCTCCGTCTTTCTAATGTAAGTAATCCTAATCTACTCAACCTCTCTTCATAGCTATAATCCTGAATATGTATTTCCTTTAAGGGCAAATTGGGAGGTTTGGAGCATGAGAGAGAACACTTCTAATGAGCCTCTAATTTCCTACTTTTCTCCTTAAAGGAATTAATCATGTATACTCAGGCAGGTGGGATGGAGTGAATACATTGCTTTGTGTCATCAAAAAATCTCTCTTCTATTTCAGGTGAAATAGACACCAGGTTCTCTTTTTGTGCTGTTGCAACTCTGGCACTATTGGTAAGAATGGTAACACACTCAGTGCCTGATATATATTGTGACTATACGTAATTGTTTAATGGGCATTGTAGGCAAGACTTCACTTGTTGTCCATCTCTCATTGCCCTTAGACACAATAAGGACTGCAGATGCTGGAAGCCAGAGTCTATAGGTGTGAGGCTGGAAAAGCACAGCAGGTCAGACAGCATCAGAAGAGCAGG